TACTCACATACTCTACAACGATACCTCGTATCCGCCGATGTTACCTTCTTTGAGTCTGTTCCATATTTCGAATTCAGCCAAGTTACTACGAAACCTCTACAGGAAAGTATTCCCACACCTCTTCCGGAAGTCCCATCTGTCATTATCCCCCATCATTCTAGGGAACCTGACCCACTAGTTACCCCTACGGTTGACCCCCTCACTCCTCGCCCACTTCAAACATATCAGCGTCGTCACCCAAAGTCTGTCGTACATGTCCCTGAAGTCGTACCTGTCCCTGAGGTCACTACGGTCGTACCTGTCCCTGAAGTCGTACATGTCCCTGAGGTCACTACAGACTCTCCTCCGACGCTCTCGCCATCACCGGATTCGGTCCTGCAACCTGAGTCTGATCTTCCGATTGCCCTTCGAAAAGGTATACGTCAAACACGAAATCCTTCTCCACATTATATTGATTTATGTTATCATCATCTTTCCCCTTTGCAGTATACTTGTTTGTCTTCTTTGTCTTCTGTTTCTATTCCTAAAACTCCAGGTGAAGCATTATCTCACCCTGAGTGGAGGCAAGCAATGATTGATGAAATGTGTGCTCTTCAAAGCAGTGGTACCTGGGAACTGGTTCCTCTACCCCATGGGAAATCTTTAGTAGGTTGTCGTTGGCTTTATACAGTGAAGGTTGGTTCAGATGGCAAGATTGATCGATTTAAATCCCGCTTGGTAGCCAAAGGATACACTCAAATTTTTGGGTTGGATTATAGTGATACCTTCTCGCCTGTAGTCAAGATGGCATCTGTTAGACTTCTTCTAGCCATTGCAGCCATTCGACATTGGTCTCTTCATCAACTTGACATCAAAAATGCATTCTTACATGGTGATCTTGAAGAGGAAGTATATATGGAGCAACCACCTGGGTTTGTTGCTCAGGGGGAGTCATCGAATATGGTTTGTAGGCTACACAGGTCTCTTTATGGTCTTAAGCAATCTCCGAGAGCTTGGTTTGGCAGATTCAGCACTGTAGTACAACAGTTTGGTATGACCCGTAGTGAAGCTGACCATTCTGTTTTTTATCGTCACTCACCCCAAGGGTGTATTTATCTTATTGTGTATGTAGATGACATTGTCATAACTGGTAGTGATCAGCAGGGAATACTCCAGTTGAAACAACATCTCTCGAAACAATTTCAGACAAAAGATCTTGGTAAACTCAGCGGAAATATGCTATGGATATTTTGGAAGAAACAGGTTTGTTAAATGCTAAACCAGCTGATACTCCTATGGATCCAAGTGTTAAACTACTACCCAATCAGGGGGAGCCTTTATCTGACTCGGGAAGATATAGGAGATTGGTTGGAAAGTTGAATTATCTCACAGTCACTCGTCCGGACATTTCTTTTGCAGTCAGTGTGGTAAGCCAGTTCTTAAATTCCCCTTGTCAGGAACACATGGATGCTGTTATCCGGATTTTGAGATACATCAAATGTGCTCCAGGAAAAGGTCTTGTGTATGAGGATAAAAGACATACCCAGATAATTGGATACTCTGATGCTGATTGGGCAGGGTCACCCATTGATAGACGATCCACCTCTGGGTATTGTGTACTTGTTGGAGGAAACCTTATCTCCTGGAAAAGTAAGAAACAAAATGTAGTTGCAAGATCAAGCGCCGAGGCAGAGTATAGGGCCATGGCAATGACAACATGTGAACTTATTTGGTTAAAACAGTTGCTCAAGGAACTTCAAATTGAAGAAGCAAGACCAATGACACTTATTTGTGATAATCAAGCTGCATTGCACATTGCTTCAAATCCAGTCTTCCATGAGAGGACCAAACATATTGAGATAGACTGTCACTTTGTCAGAGAGAAGATCGAGTTAGGCGACATCGTCACAAGCTTTGTCAACTCTAATGATCAATTGGCAGATGTGTTTACAAAATCCCTACGAAGCCCCAGAACTAACTATATATGTAACAAGCTTGGTGCATTTGACTTATATGCTCAAGCTTGAGGGAGAGTGTTGATATGTGTAAATATATATATATATATATATATATAGTGTTGAGAATATTTGTATATAGAATAGTCCCACATCGACTATATCATGTAATTACTTGTATTCTATTTATATATAATAATGTCTCCGTAGTGCTTTTTAAAACACACGGTTTATTCAAATGTCTCTTAGTCTCTTGTATTTCAACAGACACAAATAAATTAAAAAACAAAAAAAAATAACATTTGTTTACTTCCGAATATGTACACACGAAAACTTCTGTAGATGTATCTACGAAAGTACTCAGACTTCACAACGTCTGATTTATTCCGGAGCTGCATCTACGAAATTGCCCAACTGTTAATTTGTTCCGTAGATGGAGCTCCAGAACTTTCCTGCAACTCCAACAGCCACGACAATGACGCCCCCTACCCATGAAAATTGATTTTTTTGAAGTCCTGATCGTCCGTTTCAGCCAACAAACGATACTTACATTGTCTCTAAACTATGTTTTTAAAACTATCGAACGATTTCTACCCCTAAAACTATATTCTAAATCGTTTACAGGAAATACTCGAAAATATCTCATAAATTCAAAAAATTATCGATTATATCGAGCTTTGAATGATTTGGGGTGTCTTGATCGTTGAGATGAATGCTCCTTGTCGAACTTGATTGAAAAAAATCAAGTTTGGTGAAAATAGATTTTTTGAGGATTGAGAGAGCTTGAGAGTGAAAAAGATGAAAATTGAAGAATGAGGGAGGAGAAAGGACTCTGACGCGAATGTATTCTGATATGTTCCGGAGCTATATAAACGGAAACACTCCGTAGATGTAGTTCCGAAAAAAAAAAAAACACTGAATAAAAAAAGTGTGTTCAGAGATACATCTTCAAAAATAGAGGGTATTTTTAAAAGCGCACATGGTGTCTAAAAATCCCAAGATATGGGGTAAGAAATTCTTATTAATAAAGACTTACACACACATGAGCTAATAATCCACATTCATTTAGACCACTTCAAAGAGGAGAGATAGCCTAATATTTTTTTTGTTGAGCTTTGAAATCTGAGATTTTAAAAACAAGTTGATGAAGATGAATGAACATTAAAAAGACCTTGTTTTTGTAAATCTGAAATAACTGGGTTTTTAAGAACCATTTGATAGAGATAAATGAATATTGAAGTACTTGTTATTCAAATTTTGGTTTTTATTTTTATTTTGCTGTGCATATTAGAAGGCTTGTTTTTGTAAATCTGAATTTTTTTTTTCTTTGGATTTTTGAAATTTCAGTTTTTAGAATATTAAAATAAAATGATTTTTCAAATCCAAATTTTTTTGCTTGATGAGATTTTGGAAATCTGAATTTTAAAAACATTGATAAAGATGAATCAGGATTGAAATAAAATAATTTTTCAAATCTAAATTTTTCTGTTTTTTCAAATCTGAATTTTTAAGATGAAGTCGTTGATGAAGATAAAATCATTAACAAAGATGAACACAAAATATATAGTTTTCAAAAATAAATATAATATGTAAAATACATATATTAAAAAGGAAAGAATTAAGGATTAGTTAAATTATATTATTTAATTTAATATAAAAAATATTAAACATTTAAAAAATAAAATTTAATAACAAATAACCGATCATCAATCCTGAATGATCATCTAAATTAAATAATATTTCAATGGTTAAAAGGAATATTGATGTAATGATAGATCAAAAAACGCATTCCCACACTAAATGCAACCAAAAATCGCTCCTTGCCCTTACCAAGTTAACGTCAGTCTATTTTGATAGAAAACTTTAACAAACTTTTTGCCCTAAAAAATACCAGTGATAAATAAACTAATGTTGAAAATAATGAGTCTTTATTTGCATTCGTGTAGAAATTTAATGTCAACCCAACAGCTGAAACTGCTCATAATAAATAAACTAAAGTTCTTAATCTAATTTTCAACTTTCACTGGAGTGGTCTATCCATTAACACTTCCCCGGGACAACGGACAAAGCAGTGTTTTAAAAACCGGACCGATCATTGAACCAGTGAGAGTACTGGATCACTGATTTATCGGTTGAACCACTGGGTTACTGGTCAAACCGCATGACTAAACCAGATTAAACCGGATAACTCGGTTAAATAGACCCGTCATTATATAGATATAAAACCAGTCGAATCGGATGATTCAGTTTTTAAAAAAATATAACTAGTACTTACATTTTTTAAAAATATTATATCATAAATTCACAAGTTCATAATTTAAATTCAAATTTTAAACAAATGTATCAACATAACAAAATAATACAAAATTACAAAATAATTGCAGGATAATCTAATTTTAAACAATTTTTTTTAATTCTTATAACTTTTGAATTTAAATTTTAATTAAAAAATAAAAAATACATTAGAACCGGTCCAACCTTAAACCCGGTTTTTCTCGGTCTAATTCGGTTTTTTCCGATTTTTACCGGTTTGATGACACAGACGATCGAACTAGTAAATCAGACCGGTTACTAGGCTGGTTTCCGGTCCAACCGACCGGTCCGATCCGGTTTTTAAAACACTGGGACAAAGAACCAAGTTTTGAGGATACAATGTCAAAGAATGGAACACAGCTTTTTCCAGATAAATGAATGTGGATTGGAAGGTGAAATCGTAATCTGAAGAAGGTTGTGAGCACGGTAGTGGTAAGAAAAATTATTTAACAAACTATTTCAAATAGGTAAGCTAAATACTTATTCAGTGAACTAGTACAAAAAGAAAATTGAAAAATCTAGGAACAAATCAACGGTCCCAAATTTTCTAAGATGTGATGGCCAAATTAGTAAAGTTCTTTCCTTCTCTAATTTCCTTTTTCTTTTCCAAAGATACAAGAGAACTAATATATCATTGCAGAATAGCAAAATGTGGTGCATTGACATAGTAATCCATGAGCTGTTCTTGCAATATATTTTAAGGCCTGGACTAATTAGGAACTGTGAATCTGGTCCAATACTATTCTCATCAACTTATTCACCTTCAAGTTCCTCGCCAAATTGCTCCAATCGCTTGGCATCTTCATCGAGATCTCGGACTGTGGCATGGTTTATTAAACCATCATCTTCACTGGCATGTACCTGTCTGCCACCAAACCTGATAGGCAAATCAGGATAAGTACGACAGAAGTTAATATCCACATGAAAGGTAAAAAGGAAATACAAATTCAATATTAAGGGAGAATGAAAAATGAAAGCATTAAAAAAATGAACCTATTCTTCTACATTTTCAGCCAATTTTAAATTCCAATAGTCATTTTAACACTAACAGTAAACAGTTCAGACGGCTCTATCCTTATGCTCACCTACAACAAAAATGTTTCCCTATATTCCACCATACTGATATCAACGCCTGACCCTCAAAAAATCAAGGGTCTTGCATATCCAGAGTTGGTCAAGAAAACGAATTAGGGTTCTATTAAAATAGTACCCTAATTGGTTGATTAATAACAAAAACAAGATCTACAGATGGTCAACAGAAGTCATCAGGCCTAGGTATGTATGATGATTATATGGTAAGGTAAGGTAACTTGTTAAAGCATGAAAAACACATTGAAAGTGAAGAGGATGAAAACGGATAAACTTTCAAGGACTTAATTACCATCTTCCATTCATCAATTGTATGCATGCCTGAGCCCCCTTCCTATCCTTGAATTTAACTAAAACAACACCCTGAGGATGATTCTCGCATACCTGCAGGTAACATGGAAAGCAGAGGAAAAATTAAAAGTCGAATACAATAGGTTACATGGATAGTATAGAAAATAGTTGCACTGTTATTGGTACAGGTATGGGGTACAACAAAATTCCTGATAATAATAGGATATGGTTACAGAGGTTATGCTGTATAAAAATATGAAAGTACAAACAACCAAGCAACATATCCAGATGAAAAATACAATTTCCAGAACATTTTAAGTCAAGTCATCAACAAAACTAAATAAACTCGTGAAGTAAATCCATAAAGTAAAATATCCTTTAAGAGAGTGCATAATTTGAAGGGTTGAATAGGAATTACTTTCATTTAATAGCAAAGGCTTGCATTTTGTACAGAACCAGCTTATACTTGAGCCATAATAGCTCGTTGTCATGCTTAACTGAAATGAACCCATGCTAAAAGTAGACCCGATGATGGTAGTGAAAATATTTAGGAATGTGAATCATATTTACCTAGACCTTCTAGTTTCCTCTAACATGGCAGAAGGTTACTGTGGGTAACACCATAATGATAGAAATGAAAGCTCATACTCATACCAATGGAGAAGTGGAAGAAACAAATTTTCAGAATAATGATGTGATTGCTCTCACTCTAGTAGGTCAGATAAAATGGAGATATACTTTGGGCATGATATGAAAGTAAAATACCTCTTAAGCTTAAAGGAAATTTACCGTACAATTATAAGACCGGTGATGTTGTATAAAATTGAATGTTAGGTGGTAGAAAGCCGATAAGAAAGGAAATTTGATGTTGAAAAGTTGTGAATGTTGGTTACCTCAACAACAACAATAGCCAAGCACTTTCCCACTAGGTGGGATCAGCTACATACATGGATGGATTACCCTTCTACATGGATGGATAACCAAGCCTTTTCCAACTAGGTGGGGCCGCTGCATCTTAGATGATTTAGGCATGCAAACAGAAAACCGGTAAAATCACCCGTAAAGAGAGTAGACCAGGCATGATTGACCAATAGTTTGCCAAGGAGAGACTAAGGAAAACTAAGGGCCCAAACCCATAAGGAAAGATTTAGATGTAGATGATCTATTTTTGAACACACATGCATATATGATAGCTTGATGGTTGGGGTTGGGGAGTTGAAGAATGGAGTGATAATGAAGTCCAAAGTTCAACCCCAACATATTACTAACATAATAACATTTTCCATTCAAAGAACATATATATAAGAACCATCAAAGGGTAGCTTTTATGTCACTTATATTAACAAGGAACCAGGAGTCTTCAGCCCATATGGAAATGCGCACTAAAACAAAGAATTAAAAGAATTAAAAAACTATATACATGTATTTTGTATTAATTGGTGAGAGTATTTGTCACAAAAGAGAGAAGATGGAATATGAAGAGTATGAATTATATTATCTTTTAAGGCTTATTGATTACCTTGACTGCGTCTAAAGGTCCAAGCTTTGTGCATTCCTCTTTAACATCTTCTTCAAGTTCTATGCGCAAATTTTCATCAGCCTGAACAGATTATGTAATATCAGAAAGTGTCTGATATGAGCAAGTGACTATAATATGAGAAGTAGAAAATCCTACTATAATTACTAGTAGCAGTCAGAACTTTCAAAACAAATTTTAACAGAAGTTTGTTTCTATAATCTATATGTAATATAATCATGTCCAACATGAGGGTAAATATGGTCGCATCACATGTGTAGAAATGTACTAGTATGATAACTGTATTTAGGTAGGGGTGGCAAAATGGATGAATTGGATGGATATGGATTGGATTGTTAATGGATGGATCAAAACAATCCATTGATCCATTAACAATCCACTAAACTCTCTTAATAAAAATCCAATCCAATCCATCCATTAAAAGATAAAATCCATCCAATCCATCCACTAACATATTTCTAATGGATGGATATCCATCCATCCAAAAAATTAATTTAAAAATTCTTAATTATTTTTTAAATTTCATAGAAACATAATTTAAATATTTTGAATTATTTTTTAAATTTCGTAAAAAAACTTAAATTTCACAAAAAAAGATTAATATTCTTAATTTAATAAATGGCAACATAATATCCAATGGATTTATAAAATGAGATGGATGGATTGAATCCATCCATATGAGTTAGTGGATGGATTGGATCAAATCCATTAAATTATTTTTTTGTCTTATGGATGGATTGGATGAATATTATCTAAATGGATTTCATTGCCACCTCTATATCTAGAACACAAGAAAAGTTCAGGAACACCAACCCTCATTTCAGCAAGAGTGAACATATAGCGAAGGACGACAGTTGTTGGAATAGAAATTTTTGCATCATCACGACCACCTGTGGCATACAATGAAGATCACATTAGTACATAGGATGCATGGTAAATAAGAAAATGAACTTTGAAAATGAATTCAGAAACCCCAAACTAGCTAAAACCTCTAAACTTAACAAACAAACAGATTTTGAACATGTGACCACAACATGCTTTTCTTGATTCACAATAATCAGAAGGAAATTGGAAAGTGTAGATACATTCTAGCGCAAATCTTTTAAAACAATTCTCAAATCTATATCTTTGCAGTAACTCCACTATTCAAAGACAAAGGCCCAGTATACATTTGCTTTTAGCTAATGGAAGTTTCTTAATTGAGATTCTCAAAATTTGGGTTGGGTCTAACTCATCCCTACAAAACCGGCTTGTAAGGTGAGGATTGCCCCCACTTATAAACACAACACAGGCCATATCTCTAAGCAATGTGGGACTAAATCCACCCCTTCAAAGCTAACACAATGAAGGTGTTAGGGGCTGCAATGAGGCAAGCCAAAGAGCCGCAATTAAGGCGACTAGGGACGGACCGCAATTAAGGCGGAAAGTCCAACACACACCCTCACACTTAGGCCTCAATGAGCCCAAAGCGTGGGCGATGCGGGAAGCCCAACAATAGATTTTAAAACAATTCTCAAATCTATATCTTTGCAGTAACTCCACTATTCAAAGACAAAGGCCCAGTATACATTTGCTTTTAGCTAATGGAAGTTTCTTAATTGAGATTCTCAAAATTTAGGTTGGGTCTAACTCATCCCTACAAAACCGGCTTGTAAGGTGAGGATTGCCCCCACTTATAAACACAACACAGACCATATCTCTAAGCAATGTGAGACTAAATCCACCCCTTCAAAGCTAACACAATGAAGGTGTTAGGGGCTGCAATGAGGCAAGCCAAAGAGCCGCAATTAAGGCGACTAGGGGCGGACCACAATTAAGGCGGAAAGTCCAACACACACCCTCACACTTGGGCCTCAATGAGCCCAAAGCGTAGGCAATGCGGGAAGCCCAACAATAGATCTAGGATAGGCTCTGATACCATAATGTGTGGTTTGGCCTAACTCATCCCTACAAAACAGGCTTATAAGGTGAGGATTGCCTCCACTTATAAACACAACACAGACCATATCTCTAAGTAATGTGGGACTAAATCCACCCCTTCAAAGCCAGCACAATGGTGTTAGGGGCTGCAATGAAGGCAAGCCAAAGCGCCGCAATTAAGGCGACTAAGGGCGGACCGCAATTAAGGCAGAAAGTCCAACACACCTCCTCACACTTGGGCCTCAATGAGCCCAAAGCGTGGACGATGCGGAAAGCCCAACAATAGATCTAGGATAGGCTCTGATATCATCTCAGAATTTGGGTTGGACCTAACTCATCCCTACAAAACCGGCTTGGTAAGGTGTTAGGGGCTGCAATGAGGCAAGCCAAAGAGCCGCGATTAAGGCGGAAAGTCCAACAGAGATAAATATTTGTTTCCTAACTTATGAAATATTTATAAATTTATAAGTACTTGTGAAGAAGTTAGATGAGGTAGCTTCTTAAAACGCTGAGATGTAAAAGTTGATATAAAGGTACGGGAGAACTTATTAGTTAGGACTCCTAACTTAGGAGACTTGTAGTCATTACAAGAACATGTCAATTTTTCTTTTCCTATCAGTGTTTATTGAAAAATTTATCCAAATTGGCTCTAATATATAAACTTCAATAAGATATTAACTAATTAGCACCAAAATGCCCTCACTGAACTCCAGGATCAATGGATATGGGTGAAAGTATTGATCCATTTACACCATCTGGTTAATTGGAAAAACATTTACTATAAAGTAAATATTTATTAAATGTAAAAGGGAAAATAGGTTAAAATTTAGATTGAACTGGGAATCAATTAATTTTCTGAAACATCAACTTGAATAAAGTTTGCAACCACGCGTACCCCATCCAAGCATTTTGTCTTCCAACTTTTTCGTTCTCTTCTTCTTTTTATTGTCTACTTGCTTGGATACAAACTTCTCTCCTACATATTTAAAGAAAGCTCCATCAAGCACCAGCAGGAGTTATTAATAATTAAACTATCAACTTGACATGCGGATTTACCATAGCCAAGTGCAATTATAAAAGCACTGCTTGTGAAGCATAAAAAAATTGAGCAAAACCTACCTTTCTGCTCAAATTTAGCCAGGGAGACAGACATCGGAGTGTTGTCGCCAGGCCGAAAAGGCGCACCATCCAAAATTTGGATTGCCAGAGCCACTGATGGTTCCTGACGTACACAAACATATAGTTGGAAACCCTGACAAATTCAGAGCTATATGTCACAGGCAGAACTAGAGAAAGAATTACCTTAAGATATGTAACCAGAGCATCTCCCTTTTTCCTTCCTGTCCCTTTATCAACATAAAGCTTAACACGAGGTCGTTTGGTGTCTGGGTCCTATTTCAAACACAGTCATGTAATTCTTATAAAGCTGGGCTACCAAAACCTCGAATAGCTAGTCTGATATTTTCATGAGCCTCCACAGATTTTCACCTTGTAGTGAACTTTTTGAAATAATGAACTTTTGCAAGACACTTTTGGTAAGAGCTAGTTCTATAGAGATGCCTGGCCTTGTGTTATTATTTTTTGGTCAGAGTATTGGTGAACACATATGCCCAGAAAAGGGAAGAGGCTCTCCAAATTCTCATAAAAATATATGGCTTATCATAAAAAAAATCACATGAAAACATTTGAAAGGATAAACATGATAAAATGCAATGTATTTTACAGAGCCGACTGTGTTTTCCTTAATTAAATATAACAGATACTTTTAAGGTAATCCTAAACATGAAAAACAAATATATATATATACTTTAGTTCTTAATTTTACAAATCAATAGGGAATATAGAAATAAAAAGGTACCTCTTTTATAATTCCATACTTGGAAAATGTTTCCACAACCTACAATGTTGCCCATGTTAGTCTTTGCAAGGAATGTAAGTACTTTCAGGTAATGCGAGACAAAAGTTAATGCTTACTTCATCAATAGTGACATCCTCAGGCAACCCAGTGACATAAACATGTGTATTAATCTTTAATTCAAACCAACTGACAGGAGGTTTATTAGCTTCCTGAAACAGAATGAGGTTAATAGAGATGTTATTCGTCTCCCAAAAGAGGTACTCACTTCTAAGTGAAAGCAACAAAGATAAGAAAATTAAGCAGGGTGAAGCCATTTAGATTAATAAGATGAACAGATAATGGACACCTTCTTTTCTTCTGGTTTATCTGAAAGCTTCCTCTTTCTATCAGCTACCGTATCAGTATTTTCTTCTTTGCTTTCTTCCTTTAAGGAAGTTGCAGAAACATTCAATTCTGAACTATCTTCAACAATTTTAGAGGCATTGGAATCAGGTACTGTCGGAAAAACTTCCTCTTCTTTCAAGAAGGTCATCTCTTCAACCCCATAAGGCAAGGCACTACCAGGAGTACACTCCTCCTATCATATAACAACTTCATTAATCCCACCCAAGAGAAAAAATAAAACCAGCATAACTAAAGTTAAATTCAAGAATCAACAAACTTGATTTCAATGGCCCAAATAATAAAAACCAAAAGTAATCGAGATTAAGTATAATGGACCACGAGGTTCAAAAGAAAATACTTGGAGTTGTGTGTACTATAACTAAATGGAAATTTAGAGTGGAAAGAAGTATTATTTTCTAATGAATGAAAAGAATTCCCAGACTCATTTTCAGGATTTAGTAGCCAACAGGAGCCGTTGAAATTTCATATCTAACCCCTTCTTGCATTATGAACAGCAGACAAAATCTATGGCAATCAAACATTAAATAGATTTAAAGAAAGGTTGAGAGCTGTATCTATAATTATTTAACACTTGTGGTTGATATAAAAACATAAACTAAGTAACAATATATCTATTTTCTGAATAAGCACTTTTTATTTTATCCATCAAAGTTTTGATTATAAACTTGATAGAACAATATATCCTTTCGTATGGACACAGTTCCTTAAAATTTTGTTTCAGACTTCTATTAATACCTTAAAGCAGTGTCTGTTTTGTTTAGATTTTATTGAGAATTATTTAGGAAGTGTGCACTTGTTTTCATATTCTTAAACAAAACAATTGTCAAGTGACAGATTACCAGAAACAACAACAAAAATGAATGACACGAGATAATAGAATCACTTTAACATGGAAGAAGCTTCAATTTTATTCATTTTGATTCTGCCAGGTGATCAGTGTGTGCTATACAGAGTGTGAAGAACCATTCTACAAGATGCCAAACATGAAATATTGCAGCTCTGTTTGATACTTGTAACACAAATACCTATTTGACATATGCAAAATCTAAAACAACAAGACCCTCTCACTTCAAAACCAACGTTGATGTAATCAAGACACCTCTTTAAGATATCAACCTTGTTAATATATTATAACAGCGTGCTCAAAAAAGGAACAAGTACAAAAACAGTTTGAATAATAGACGACTAGCTCTATGAGGCCCATAACCTTCGAGAATAACAGTTAAAACTTTAACGTTAACGACTTGACTAAACCAATCTCCAAATCCTAGGCATCAAATTTTAGTTAACCTTTAAGCCTATCTCCTTTTAATCATAATATAACAAAGAACACCACTTATTTTATAGATGAACACAATAATAATGATGTAAAGATCATGTACCAACCTGCGGAACCCAGGCCCTAATATTCCTGTCCCACTTATATATAGTCCCGTCATCATCAGTAAACTCCTCTTCACCATCAGGCGGTGTAGAAGGTCTCTCAGAGTCTTCCTCTGCCACACCACCAACAACAACATCAGCGGAAAAGGTCCCTAATTCTGAACCTTCCACTTGTGCCTCTGCCTCCTTAATCTCCTTTTGCCATTTCTCAAACTCGTCAACATCCTCAGCATCAGCAGGCACTACACAACAGGTGACATAGTCTCACATAGTCTCTAAATACCCAATTAATAATAATGAAACACACAAAATCAAAACAATTAATACCCGCAGTTGAAGAAGAATCAGGTCCAATTCGAAGACGGTTAATTTCATCCCACAACTCAGAAATGGAAGACAAAGGTTGCCACTCAGTTTTTCCTTCAGACCATAAAAGTGTGTTCTCTGACAAGTAGCCATTTAAGAAATGCTCTGCAATGTAAATTACCAAGTCAATAAAACTTTCATTTCAACCTAAAATCAATTTCAATTTTGTTCAAAAAGTACCGTTTCGAAATTCCCAAAATCAAAATACAGAAAAGAACACGAGGTATTGGTGGTTAGCATCGGAGAACTGAACTCACCGCGCACCTCTGAGAAGACGTAAGGACCGACTTGTTGTTGATTCTCTCCGAGAACGTACCATCCAACTTCTGTGACATTCTCATCTGCGTAACGAGCTCAGTTAACTTTTTTGATATTTTTTTGCTGCGGATTGACTAGAGATGAAAAGGGATAAAGAGAGAAGTTAGCGTTTACCGGTAGGTTGCGGTTGCTGTTGATGAGTATCGTAGCCATTTTGAGAATTCATCGTTTTCTTGGCACGATTTCTGGGTTTCTGCTCTCTACAATGGCAACAAGGTTACGATACAAAAGCCCGTAGTTTCTAGAGAGAACATAAAATTTGGGTTAGAAACAAAATGGAAAAGCAATTAGAATAATTAAAATTTAAAATAACAAACCAATTAAATTCAACAAAATAATTTATTTGATACTTTCAATTTATTAAATAATTAATATACTATAATTTAATTAATTAATTTTTATTTTAAATTTATTAGTTAATAATTTTCTTATTTTAGTTAAAACTTTCAATAAATTGTATTGATATATTTTGTGAATTATAGACTATTAATGTTGCCTTCATAAATTTTACATGGGTTATTAGATGGAGAAAATAAGGATAGAGAATCGCTTAATTTTTGTATCTTCTAATACAACTTTTCAAGCAACTTTTAATGGGAGCTACAACTTTTAGGCAACAAAATATATTGAATTTCATTGAATTGAAATAAATAAAACAAGACAATGGTATAATAGGTAAAGTAAAAACAATAGGGTATTTCTATGCACTTTCTTCGCATATGAGAAGAAAGAAAAAAGATATAGATTCTATCATTTTAGTTTCTCTTTTCACACCTTCTTTGTCAATCAAACATGAGAGTTTAATCACTTCTTCTCTCTTTGTATCTTTCATTTCTCTTAGCATGTTTCTCTCAAAACAATCACAATGTTAAAAGGTGATATTAAGGTGAAGAGATTTGGACTATTGTATGTCATACCCAACAAAATTATTTTTTTTGTTAAAAATGGTTACATGTGGTTCTATAGGACTAATGAACGGGTGCAAGCTATCTAGAATACTTTAATTTTTAGTTGAATTGGTGTCTATACACTGTAAAAAAATGGATAGAATGGAGAAAATATCGCAAGTAAGAAATTATTGGTTAGGAGTTTCCTTTTTTAGATAAGGGTGTTTGATAAATGAACTAATATGGAAAAAGAATGCAATAGAAAAAAAGTCTAATGCAAGAGACTTAGATATCTTTGATGATGTCATTAATCATGTGTATTTTAGTTAGTATAGTTCTTTGTATGTATTTGATTAATATTAAAAGGTTTTTTACTTTTACTAGTATACTTTGTTAAATTTAATTGGTTGTTAAATGTGTCGCATTTGTGGTGGGTTAGGAAGGATGATTTTTTATATAGGATGTTCTTGATCAATAAATCTGGAGGGTAACTAACATAGCAAAAACAACATAGCTCTAGAATGATACTTTCAAAACACTCCAAACCAGAAGCATTCTTCCGGACACACCACATACAAAATACACTATAGATATGACACACCTGGTATTACCACAAATAAGGACACACCACATACTATCAATTTTTTATTAGCAATGTTTACCAATAAAAGGGAATACATTATAATGTATAACTCCAAAAAAATTTTAAAAAATGTATCTAATAATTAGGGGTGGAATTATGTTAATTTTAGAAGATCTGAGTCGGACCTACGATAATTTTTTAAGGCACGAGTTTGCCTATGGCCTATTATAGGTCATTTTTAGTTTCGTTTGGACTTTTTAAAACTAGATATCATTGGTACATAAAATTATAGTTATCCAGATACATAAAAACATTTCAAAATACATTATGACAGTCGTCATTACGAAATTTTTATGAGAATTTTCGGATGAATTCAAAAGAATAATGAGCAAAAGTCATGTCAAAGTGTAAAGAGTTGAGCAAAGATTTAAGACGGGGAAGAAATAAAGACTTAGTGAAAATTGTGAGGAAAAAAAGAAGAAAATGTGCATTTTGCTTTTGGAATTCTCATGGCCGCATTGCATCCCATTGTGGAGCGATGAGACTTGCAGTGTGGCGCGATACTACTGTATCGTGGCACGATGGATCACTTTTTGGCTGATACGCAGATTACTACTTAAAGGCAATTTTGGAGAGCATTAGGATCATTGGAGAGTCATTCTTCCATAGACTTTGAGGATGAATACTTATCAACTCATGGTATTTATTAGTTTATCAATGAGTAGCTAAGTTTCTCTATAATAGGTCTTTTTGAGATGAACTTTATTGTTACTCTCGCTACAACAAATAACATTTTTTATGACGAAGCTAACACCTCGAACAATAGAAAAACGAGGGAATAGGTACTGGGAGCGCCAACTTTTATTTTTTTTAAAGAAATTAACAATCATTTACCTCGATTTTTCAGAAAAGCAAGAGAGTAGATCTATAAGAGAGTTTGCTTCGACACCCAGTCATTGCATTTTATGTTTTTTCCAGTTGTTTAGTTTGCATTTTTCACTTGGCGCCTTTCCAAGTTCCTTTTTTATCATTGATCTTTTTTATTTTTTATTCTTATTTTTATTTTTTATTAGTATTTAACTCGGTGACATTGTCCATCTGAAAGGTGATATATTTTGCATTAATCAATTTCAAAATCTTATTTTAATTTTTATTTAATATTTTCAAACTCTTTGGTGATACAACAAAAATGAACGTTATATATCTTTTAATTTAATTCTCATAATATGGCGTTATTGTGTTTTTTATATTTTATATTTTTATTAATAATGTCACGTCAGCTTTTATAGAAAAATCGACGTTAAACATTTATTGCATGAGATACTTCAGACTACAATCTAGCTAGTTTTTAACTTTTCATTTACTTATCAACGCTCAAACGTCATTTCGTCACTCTCATTTCGCAAAAACCTAGGTGATATTCATCAAAACTCTTTCAACAGATATTCATCAAAAGTCATTTTGCAACAGGTTTGTTCGTTACTCAAACGAGTTATATATGATTTTGTTTTCCACTGATCATTTTGTATAGGATTTTACTTTAGTTTGTCTTTTGATCATTTTGTTTTTACAATTTTCCATTTGTTTTTATTGAAACTATAGTTTCTATTGATCATTTTGAGGTTTATATTAAAAAAATTGATAGTCATGGTTGATTCGACAAGCATCTCCCATACAACATCTACTACAACATCTGTTAATACAAATTGTATAAGAAAAACGAGAGGTGTCACGATGTATTCCAAGGTGAAAAAAGCCCAAGAAACTGGTATTCGCTACCCAGTTACAGTTGATGCTGCAACCGACAAGGCTTGTGGTGAATACGTTGACGATTTTATGAGTTACATTGCAAGAATAAAATCGATTCAAAACCTTGAAACATAAATAACATTTGAAAAAATCGCAAGAAGAAAAGTGATATCGCTTAAGAGCAAATAAAGTCAGAAAAATGAAATCGAACATCTAATTCTAAATTTACACACTAAAAGTGACAAGATCAAAGGTTGTGATTCAACAGAAGGTCCAAGATGTAGCCTTAGTTCTTTAACATCACTCAAGTGAACATAGAAGCATCAACCTCCAACCCTAGGTTCATGAGCATATATGGGAACTACTTCCATTCAAGCCAACTACCAGGTTCAGCTACACGATTGACATTGAATGCACATGTTCCTAATGCTAACTACTTCCATTCAAGCCACGCGAGTTCCATCTCTTCCTGAAGGCATCTTCTCAAGGGATTTACCTCCTCAATAGAACGTGCACGCAGAGTTTAATCACTTCTTCTGTCTTTGTATCTTTCATTTCTCTTAGCATCTTTCTCTCAAAACAATCACAATATTAAAAGGTGATAGTAATTGTAAATTTTGTGTTGTTTTAACTTTAATTAGTAAGGTGAAGAGATTTGGACTATTGTATGTCATACCCAACAAAATTAATTTTTTTGTAAAAATGGTTACATGTGGTTCTATAGGACTAATGAACGAGTGCAAGCTATCTAGAATACTTTAATTTTTAGTTGAATTGGTGTCTATACACCGTAGAAAAGTGGATAGAATGGAGAAAATATCGCAAGTAAGAAATTATTGGTTAGGAGTTTCCTTTTTTAGATAAGGGTGTTTGATAAATGAACTAATATGGAAAAAGAATGCAATAGAAAAAAAGTCTAATGCAAGAGACTTAGATATCTTTGATGATGTCATTAATCATGTGTATTTTAGTTAGTATAGTTCTTTGTATGTATTTGATCAATATTATAAGGTTTTTTACTTTTACTAATATACTTTGTTAAATTTAATTGGTTGTTAAATGTGTCGCATTTGTGGTGGGTTAGGAAGGATGATTTTTTATATAGGATGTTCTTGATCAATAAATCTGGAGGGTAACTAACATTAGGGGTGAGCAGAACCCAACCCAATCCGAAGACCCGTCCCAAACCAGTATAGGTGGGATAGGTTCGGGTTAACCTTCGTATTACTCAACCCGTCCTAATATTATGAATGGACATGTGATAATATTTATTTAATTTATTGGTATATCGATGTTTACCAATAAAAGGGAATATATTATAATATATATAACTCCAAAATTAATATATATATATATATATATATATATATATATATATATATATATATATATATATATATATATATATATATATATATATATATATATATATATATATATATATTAGGCCACAGCCGTCAGACACAGAGTCCCCGGCGGGCAGGTAATGTCCCTCTGCGGGCAGAACCTTCCTCATCTGTGTCGAGCACAAGACTCCCCCGTCGACCAGACACTACCTCCGTTGAGCAGAACCATCCCCTCCGCGGGCAGCACCTGCTCCCCTGTTGGGCAGGACAACGTGTCCTTCACACGTTCTCCACGTGCCCCCCTCCGCGGGGACACATCACCGACCAACTGCCCACCTCCGAAAGAGCAGGTCAAACCCACTTTCCGGGGATCACGAGACAGTTGGATTAGGGCGAAGACCACGTCTTGGTCTTCATTACGCCACGTAAGCCCTAGCAGTCACCTGGGTTGGGCATGGCAATCCAGCCCAACACAAGTGACCATTGGCCCAGCGCTAGGGTCTCTCTATAAATACCCTCTTTCATAAGAGGGTTAGGTAACTCAATTCTTACCTTTTTTTCTGTACTTGTAATCACTATGCCCATACGCTTACTTTAGCAT